AATTAATTATTAATTCTAACTAAATTTCTAAGCTTACTATATAGCTTAACTAAAAGGCAAGAAAATTCCACTAAAAGACATAACATACTTATATTGATGAATCGAAAGAAAATTTAGTCATAAAATTTAAACATAAAATATAAATTCTGAAGCGAAATCTTGTGTCCATAAAAGCTTGATTAATATGCAAATTAATTCTTCTGTTACAAAATTAACAACAATGATGATAAATCTGACACAGTATGGCGTACATACTCATTACTGAAACGCAAATTCATTTACGGAAACAAGTCATTAAGTATTCTATGGTAATATTCGATCGGACTATGCATCAAATTGTTACTTGAAACGTGTTTCGCACGAAGCAAAAGAGATGAGACAGAGGCAAGAGAAAAGAAGCAAACAGAAGGGAATGAGACTGCACATATCGAAGGGACAGTGTTTTTTAGTGTTCTTATTTGTAAATTAATTTGCCGCAAGCTGAAGCGACCAGTTTTTGAGCGGCTATTTCATTGCACCGCACCGCACGTCTGACACATCCGCCGATTTTGGGCGCAGATGCGCTCGCCTTTGTATGAAAAATTTTAATTGTCGTAGAATAGCGGCTGATAATTCGTTGTATACGGCGCGAAAAAAGAATTTTAATATGGACTAAATTAATTCATGATATTCCAAGATTAATTGCTTCTCACTTGTCATTAAGATTAAAGATTTACTCACGTTAATTACTGCGATGTAATGATACTTGCTCAGGCAAGAACACACGATAGACAAAGCGTGTCGGCCGACTGTGTCTTTTATGGAAAGTCCTTGACAATGTATAATGCAACCACGCACATGTACAACATAATTTTAATTATTTTTCATAAACGACACATAACAGTCGGACGTCATTTTATCGTGTGCTCTTGCCATTACGTTTTACAATATTAAGCATAAAAAATGCCACGTATTTGATCTTTGAGCATTGAACAAGCACGATTTGCATGAATATATTTTAGAAAGAGATTTCGCTTTTTTTGAGAAATAGAAAAATTTGAAAAGTTTGTCGAATAAATTTAAGTAATCGTAATCGATGATTGAAAAATGGATGTCTTACCATGCTCGATCATGCGTGGCTGTAAGTCTCGTATCTTCCAATAATATTCAATAACACATCTAAATCGAGAAAACAGCAAGTTAGCATATATATAATATATATGAATAAGCAGAAAGCATCAAAATCCATCTGTCATCCATTATCGACTAATTCGACCAACGCTTCGCCTGTTTACGCAGCCATCGCCGTCATTCAGCGTTCGGTTTTCCATACACAAAATTGGCCATCCGCCATCGCTGTGGAGAAATCAGCGAATAAAACCGTTACTTATGATCGGATAGATTTCTTAACGATTCGCTTGATGCCTGTCGCGCTTACGGTCGTTTTTCTCTGCAGCGGCATCTTGCCATCGCGTTCTCGCACCGAATTTTAAAATGGACAGACACGTGAGGGCGCGGTACATGAACTCGCCGGACAAGCTCAAGGAACGTCAGAAACGGTATGTCGCGGTCTTCTCATTCTCCGAGATTATGCTTGATTGAGCTGCCTTGCGGGAGCTGCTTTACCATGCGTAACGTCAGGGTCCGTCGATTTCGTTTCTGCCTGAAACGAAAATCCGAACGCGGCGATTGGATACAATTCAGCATTCGCCTGCCGAGGAAATCGCGAGTGATCGTTTGAAAAATGAATGGATTACGCTCTGCGATCTTGTTGTTCGCATGACGGTCCACGATCGTTCGATCCATTACCGCAAAGATCTGTTATCGCGATGGCATCGATCACTGTGAGATTATCTCGTAGAGAAGCGGTAACTTTTCGTCCTTTCACGAAGGACCACGATCACAATCGAGGATTAAAAGCAAAGGACGAAAAACGTCTTGGGAACTTGCTGTGAAACCGATATAATAATTTTTCGCGAGTTTTTTTTTAAGAATTTCTCGATTGATTGCGATTTCCTCGGACCACTGAATATGTAGCAGCGTTGACTGCATATCTCGCGTAGCGATGTCCGAAACATGTTGGCAATGATTGATAGTCAGGTTCAGTGCTCGTCCTGACAATCGTTCTATCACTTTGCAGGCGACACGATTTTCTTTGGATTCTACACATTTTCCTCGTCGATTTATTTCATTGACTGTTAACGGTCGATCTGAAAGCAGAAAAATTGGATAGTAATAGCGATAGGCTACAATATGATAATGATGTCGCTCATTTCTAAGATCTCTTAAACGTGTTTTACATATGTTCTAATTTCACCAGTCATAATAGCTATTTTTCTAATTTTAATTAATATGTCACCAAAAAATATCGCTATTTCATATCAACAATAAATAATAAATATGACATGTTCAAATAAAGAAGAATACATCTCATCCTCTTATTTTTCTCTATAATACTTTCTTTTTATTTTGTTAATTTGGACTGAAGTTTTAGACACATTTGCTCATATTTATCTTCAATATTTATTCCCAATTTAAACACAAAATAATTATTGTGACTAAACCGCAATAACAATTGATGTTGAGATCATATCTACATCACGGGAATAATAACCTAAACAAATTGATTCTGTCTTATGCAATAAGATTTACGCAACGTGTCACGTGTAATTCTACGACGCATAGTTTCCGAGATTCAAAGAAGTAACAGAGTAGTTTATACGTAATTTGTTTAAAAATGTAATAAAACCAATGTGGTGTCGTATTAACGCAAACTCTACTCAGATACGTAATTCCACATCTTTCTATTAAAAATGTCATTATTTTCAAAATAGTAATAATTCCGAAATAATTATGATCTACAATTGCTTTTTAATTATTATCGCCAGTATATTATCTGCAATAGGAAAAAGAAGTATAATTACCACAGCAGAGATTAAAGTACCAGCTGTAATGAGGGGACAAAAAATATATAGACATATCTATCTATGCCATTTGATATTTATAATAATACCGAATAAATCACGTTATTTTATTGCCGCTGACAACGCTTACTGACGTAAATGCACAATTGCCAAACGACTTAACATCCAATGCAAACGCAACATTCAACTATATTCAAGAATGTACTGCATTTATGGCATCATCAACGAAAATACCGCTTATTTGCATTCTTCATTGTAATAACAGTTTATTACCTTATTTAATTTATTATATGCATTACACCTCAAGAATTTTCTCTTGTAGTTTTACACATTATCCGTCTATCAAAAAATTATCAAAAGTTTATAATATAAAAATAATATTTGCTATTTAGCAAGGTTATCATAAATTTGTTATCATTTAAGTCTTTATTAAATTGATCTAAGGAACGAACGACCGAAGGAAACCAAACCGAATCCGATCGTTCGATATAAGCAACAACGCGGCACTAACACTAACGCAAAAAAAATTACCGAATGCCGGAAACCGCCGACTAAGAAATGGAGCCTGGAGAGAAGTTAACGACCGCCATGTCGGCTTATCCAGCGGATATTAAATCTGGTAGCGGGACATTTCTCATTCGAGAAGTTTTCTCAGAGAGACGACCGACGAGAGAAAACCTTACCGCGATGCTTTAAAGATCGTCGAGTCGCGAAGGGGAAGAAGGCGGACGAGGTCCACCGCCGTAAAACAAAATCCACTACGGAAAGATGGCAAGAGAGAAAAGAGTGGCTGAGAAAGAGGAAAGGACTGAAGAAGCGACAAGGACGCGGAGGAGGAGTATATTATGTTCGCTAAAGCAATGTTACCAACTCAAGAACTGGCGAACTAGCCGACAGTAAAATCCATTTTATGTCTCCCTCGTAAAGCCAGTCAAATGAAACCCGGACTTAGTTTTCATACGTGCACCCAATGGGAGACCCGGTTTCCTGCCCGCTACGATAGCAGGTTGTAACAGACTTTTTCGAAAGTCTAGACGCATTGGTACCTAGATCGGGCATCTTTGTCGAATCAATCCTGTTTGGTGAAACCTCGATCATTACGGTTTCGATGGCAATCGATTATAATCTCGTTTTACTTTCAACATCGCTGCAAGTTATATGTCACCAGTTAAAAAAAAATCTGTGTAAAAAAATAAATACAAACAAATCAAAAAGATTAATAAAATTAAGATATAAGTCAGTGGAAACACACTGAAAAATCAAGGATTCGATCATTTTAATTTGATACACACGAATGACGCGCGTATGGTATTTCGATTGAGTCTTTTATTTTGATTGATACACACGAAGCAATAACTTGTAAACAAAGAACGGTACAAGATAGATACTAAAAAGCTTGACCAAGTAAAACATCGTTCGACACTAAACCTGGTCGCCTCGTAAAACACGTCTCGCAGACACACATCCCGAAAGAGTAGTGGCGATAAAGACCCAGTTCACATCTCAGAAGACCAACTTTGAAAAGAGCTTTCGTTAGATACCATAAACCTCTTCTCAGAATCATTTTAATCGATTCCTTTGTTTGCCAATGTTGCAACCGTCTAAAAGATTAATAAAACGTAATCGTGCTCTAAGAAGAAGAACACACGAAAAACGTAAAAGTGGTTTCGACGAAAATACGATCACGCGGTATATATGATATATTATTGCGAAATCACAGGCTTTTATAGCTTCGAGGAACCTACAAAACTTGTAAACCATCGAAATATTAAGTAATGAATATGCCAACAATACAAGGAAAATCATTTCAAAAGTAAAACATATCAGACAGAAGAGGACGTGATAAAAGCACTGAAAAGAAAAATAGTCTGGTTGGATTAAATAGTAATTCTGATAAAAAATGAACGAATCAGAATTTTCTGATTAAATCTACTAGAATTCTAGTTGAGATAATTAGTATTGTATTTGAAATTATTCTGAACAAAAATAAGAATTCTAGTAAAATTTTATCCAAAAATATTATATCAATCAGAATTCCCCGATTATCTCAACTAGAATTCTAATAAATTAACCAGAAAATTCTGAGTCGTCTATTTTCCAGAAATTTTGTTGAGTGAAATGATAAGAGAAATCGAATTCATTGATACGCGTGCGATGATATAATTGTAGTCGTCCATCATTGTTACACGTATTTAACCAGTTGACGACGCTTGGAATATTATTTCCACTCGTAAAACGATCCCTCTAACGATCGACAGTTACTTTGATGCCGTTTCAGGGGCGAGACCGAGCGTTATGTCGTTCCTGGTCGTGTTGCAATACACATTCTTCTCGTCTCGCTTTAGAGCTCGTGAATTTGTGCCGGTACACGATTCGTCATCTCGTTTTCATGAGGCTTTAACCGTCCGCGCCTGGGTCTTTTTTTACGAGCGACTACTTCGTCAAAGTGCCAACCACTTTGTTAAGTACACGTATCTGTAACGGTGCGTTACGACGAACGCAGGATCTACTAGTGTTAAGTGGATGTGGGCTTTCAAGAAATATTCGATGACCGATCGCAAATAACATGAGAGCCAATAGCTGCCTCGAATGACGTAAATTTATCGTGCTACGTACAGTCTATACGTGACCGTATTTGCAATTACTTTATATAGTTTTTCAGACATGACAATCACTGCGCATTATAAATGTAAGATTTTACATGTATTTTAAGTTGCTTTAACGCATTTACCGACTCGTTATATATTCTTCTCTAGAAAAAACTGCGATACCCTTTTATTATGTATTATTATGCGTCATTGCTCAAGGAAAGAATGATATATTAATAAATGTATCTCGCAGCAATTGCACGTATTTTAAGACGTTATAAAGTTTTATAACTATAGATATACGTAAAATTCTCATTCCGAGAAAGTGAAAATACAACTCTTCATTTCTTAAAAAAAGTGACAATTTTCACTTTTTTTTTAGAATGAATTTTCACTTCAAAAGAGTGAAATCTCACTTTTTGTGGAAGTATTTTCACTTGTTTTCAAAGGTAATTGTATTTTTACTCTTTTGGAGTGAGAGTTTCACTGCAAGAAATTTAGAGTGTAAGTTTATTTAAAGTTATATTATTAACCATATATTATTAACTCCATATTATTAACAATAATAATTGTAATAATCATCACAATAATAATAAAATAATAATAATGCAGAATTAAAAGAGAAAAAAGAAAAGGAAGCGAACTAATGAGTCGGAGACTTTGGTTCATAATTTATATTTGCATTCTTCCCAAAAGACCTTTTCTTTTTGATCGACCATAGAATTGTCTCATAAAAATATGATTTATAGTTATACCGCCTCACAATATCCTTAGCTGCGTAATCTACGTTATGGTATTTATATCCTAATGATTCATATATTTACGTTGTTCCCATTCAATGATTTCTGCACCCAGATAATTCGACGAATCTTAGTGGCGGATTAATTTGAAACTTATTGATCAGACAGTTTAAAAGATACATGATATAACGAGAAAAGACTTTTGATCTACCAATAACAGATTTTACAATCGACAGAAATAAAATTTGAAAATCATTCCGCATTCATTGATTGACGTCACTAACTATGATTAATTATATTGATCAAATACTATCTGTATAATAAGATAGTTTTTATTATACTTGTGTTTGTTATACAAAATGATTAATGAAAGATTAAAATTCATAAAAAAATCATAAAAGTCACAACATATTTCGTATAAAAATTTCCAAGCTGTAGACGACTTTAACGCTAAGCTAATATTGAAAATATACGAATAAAAATTAGACTAGATATAATTACTGCAATATAAACTAAGATCGTTCATTTTGATCGAATGCTTTATAATTTTATAAAAACGGCTAGCTGAATGGCTTATTAAGCTCTTTCTTAAATTCGCGAAGAGAAACCAGCGCACGTACCCGCATAGAGAAGAAAAGCTTTCGTCGATAAAGGGTCTTTTCTGGCGGATGATCTAAGCAGATCCCAAGGCGAACAGTGACTGCTCGAGAAGTCGTAAACGTGGTAAGGAGGAGACACATCCTGGCACATAACTAAAATGAAAACGGTCGCGGCGGTTGCGGATGAGGTGGGTGGAAGTTTATCATCTGCTAGTAAGTGTGCTTCGCGGATTCTCATACCTCCACCCGTGCGCTACCACCCTTGATCAGGCTTTAGGTGAGCGGTGAGCAGGGAAGAAAGACAGATCGTAAAATCACTGTGGAAACTTGAAATACCTATTCACTCTACGTTAATCTCA